GGGCCTCGAACCACTGGGACAAACAAGAATAGTTAAAGCTCTTTGGCAGCGGAGCCTCTACTTGCGTATGATTGATTTGTTTTTTATCCCTCGTGACTTTCTTGACATATTTGTACAGCCTCTAAGTCATGATTTTGAATTTCGCTTCACCCTTGACTGAGAAATGCGAAACTGCTTGAAGACTGCCTGGAGAATTTCAACTTTCGGCAAGTGCCATGAAGTGAAGACAGACGGTAGCAGGGATGCCAAAGCGATTCATGACGTTTTGTCTTGACTGATCGACATGGAAGCCCAAAACGTAGTCTTGAAACATTTTTCAATAATCATATCTCAAATATGCATTTTTGTAGTCATTCAACGAGCAGCTTCATGCATCTAGTTCGACAAACTGTCTGATCAGACATGTCTAAAATGGCGGCTTTTATGGTGCAGAACTATTTAGCCAAAACGGTTGGAATGAAATTAGGCTTGTACGGATATTGATCGATTCACTGGATCCGATGATTGCTCGTCCAAAGGCCAGCAGCTCTCCAACACACTTTTCAATGGAACCGAGAGCAAGAAACGCCTCAGGCTGGTCAAATCAATTCATATATTTAACTAAAAAATTAAACAAGTTAAATTCTCAGCCCCTTCTAAAATTGTAGAAGGTTTTCTAAATCATGGTTGATGCGACCAAACAATGCGGATGTTAACTTTTTACTGTTTTCTGACGCATCTTTGAATCGGCAAACCGTCTGCATTTCTAATCTTAGCAGGAAACATTTAAAGTCACATACAGCATAATTTTAATTCGAGCTTATTAATCATGGTCAATGATTCACAAATTATATTATTACATGCAGATTATTCCATGGCATTATCATGCACTGTTTTCAGTTAAAGCTTTTACTATGCGATACTTTCAATGCAGTTACCACCATCCAATGACAAGCAAGGAAACGTTTCTTAATAGTGTAAAAAACGTTGAATTCTTTGACTTTAATTCGCACTTTATTGACAGGTATCAACGCAGCACACACATGAATCTGCCAGTATAAACATTTAAGCGAGACAAGGCCTTTTCATTGTCTTCCTTGATTTTCATTGGTGAAGTAGGCCGTCGACGTCATCATGTTACACCATCTTAGCTGAGTTGAAATGAGAAGCTATGCAATGAACAGACAGTATCGAATTAAGAGCACGCAATACGTAAGGACAGTGGGTGATCGTCTTCGGTTCGACTGCAACTAGTGATGCTTCACGGTCGTCGTCGTATGGTTGGCCATCTTCTTGGACCTAGCCGGACACAAACAGTAAAGACCATCTTTGCCAGGAAGACCAATCGGGCCGTAATCTCCTCGCTCTCCTTTCCTACCCTTTCGACCTCGCATGCCTTGTGGACCCTTAACAGCCAACATTACACCTTTCAGCACAACACCGCTTTCAGCTTACCTGAGGCCCTGGGTCGCCCGGCTCTCCTGCATCGCCATCAGCACCGACAGGGCCTTTTGGACCACGTTTTCCTTTCTTCCCGGGTGGACCCTTTGGTCCTGGCCTGTTTCGTATGATAACTGCAGGTTTGCCGCTAACACCCTTAGGACCAATGGGTCCTACCTTCCCTGGTGGTCCAGTTGGACCTGGAGGACCGGGAGGGCCAAGAGTGTGGCTTTTCCTCCCGGTCCTGCCGGGCATTCCACGACGACCCTTTGGGCCAACTTCGCCCGGAGGACCAGGAGGTCCTGTAAAGAGCAGACTCATTAAAATTATTCACGCGACGAAAATAATTACCTCTCGGCCCCATGTTCCCTGGAGGACAAATCACACAGCCGCTTTTTTCGCTAATCTTGAACACATCCATTCCGTCAACTCCATCAAGACCCGGTAAACCTTCTTCGCCAGCCGCGCCGTCAGGCCCCGCTGGACCTGGCATGCCTTCTGAACCTGC